AGGCCTCAAGGTGACCAGGGACTCACAGAGGTTCACTTACTATGAGTCCACTGCCCATCTTTAGACAAGGTGTCTAAGCTTCGCACAGCTCACAAGGAAACATGGAAAGCCAATTGGTTAATGTTAAATCCAGCTCAGAGCCACTTTCTAGTGGTGTCCAACAATAAAAGATATCATATTATTTTAATTGTTTGACTAAATTGATATTTATTTTCATTTCATAATAGAAAACATTCATGTATATTTACTCAGGAAGTTTGTTTAGGGAGTATTCTTATACAAATCATTAAAATTTCCCTAGTTTTTACTTGGAGATTTCCACTTACATTTTATCAAAGAGTATGTGGAACTCATTTTCTGATTATTATGTTCTCATACCAGAAACCCTTTGGAATTGTGTCACTGAAGTTAAATATGAACATAATTTGTAGTTGCCTGTTGTCTCTTAACCTTTGCAAATGTAAATTATTGATATGCTAGTGTCCTACACCTTTCCATCTACTGAAATAGCAACTCATGAAACCAACTCTGAACGTTGTCAAGATTTTGATGTGAGAGTTTATCAAGTGGAGAAAGTGGATGAAATCACACTTCTGAGGGCCCATTATCCAACACCTACAGCAGAGACTGTGGTCCAGAGCGGCTGATGTGGTCCCTGCTGCACAGATGCTGCCTGATAACAGGCAGGTGCACAGCATGGGTCTGCTGCCTCTCAAACCTGGTGTTATGGTTGATACATTGTGTCAACTTGGGGAGTCTAGAGGTTTGGCTAATAGACTCAGCAGGAAGCCAGGGTGCTTACTTTGTATACATCCTGAGCCTGTGGAAGAGCAGGGCATGGAGATTATGTGAGAGCTACACACCCCTTAGGTGGGGGTATCCTGTTTACAATGTAAGGCAGGGAAAGAAACTGCTTGTAGCCATTCCTCCGGTTTGCTCTGACTGCTTTGGTGTTCGGCTGCCATTCCCCCCTTTGCTGTTGGTGCTTTAATCTCTTCTGCCTCGGAGCCAGCCAAGTATGGACTGAAACCTCCACAGACTGTAAGCTAAATAAACCTTTCCTTCCTTCATTTTGGGTGTTGGGTATTTTGTCTCAGCAATGAGAGAAAAGTAACCAAGACACCTGGTAATAACAGGAGTTGGAGAAAATCACTTACCTTGTGATTCATCGATATAATTCATGCTCTATACAACCAAGGCTTATTCTGTCTCCAACAGTCCTTATAAAGCTCAAATTAAAAAAAAAATCTAAAGATTCTGGCACTGTCAAGCAAATGCATACAATTATTAGAGTGCATTAAAGATTCCTGTCCTTGCTGTCACTGCTGTGACACGATGCTCTTACACTCAGTATTAGCAAGCA